ATGATAACCACCTACAAAATTCTCAGAGGAATTGACAGGGTGGACAAAGACAAACTCTTTAGCACGGACGGTCGTCTCCGACCGGTCGTCTGGCTTGGTAGTAATGGCTTAATGAGGTCGTTGCCTCGTTCCTCTCCTCGCTTCCCCCTGCTATTTACCACTTAGCGGTTTCGCTAGCTTCTTTCACCGTCTTCCCGGAAGGTAGAGGTTATTATCCATATTGTGGAGAATAACATTTTGGACTCCTGGAGCCTCCACCCGTAGCTCTACCCACTGAGCCACCAACACATCACCAACACCCACAATAAAGAAGGGTTTTGAAGGCACGTATCTGCTGTTTAAGTGGGGTTTTAGGTCTCCCATGGGCCTAAAACTTTACCATATTTAGTATGAAGGTATGTCGTAGAGACCATGGAAACTCTATCGATTTATTCCCTCCCCCCCCCTTAGCCAGTGCTTGGAATCCATTCCCCATTATTCCCCCTATTTCTTCTCCTTATGTTGTTGTTGTTAGAGATTTAGCTACTCAGGACGAAGTGTCCATGCAGCACGGGCTATGGTGAGCCCGTAACTTCTCCTTAAGTTTGACTACCCTATATTCCTTCGACCCGTCATCTCACCCCACATAACTTCACCTCTTCCACATGCGTATTTAAGACAAAAATTTGTACCTTGTGTATAATTTACGGGCTATTCATGCCCGTGCCACCTCTTGGGTGGCTTAATCTTCATCAATCATCAATCACCTTGTGTATTCATTTCATTACCTGAAGATGTTCCAGGATGGAACGAAACGTTGTAGAAAATAAATCCTTCAATAATCACAGGTTTCTTGATCGTAAATTTGGGTCAGTTGATTAATCTAATTATTCCCGAGAATAAGAAATTGAAGGATAGAAAACTTTTAAGATCAACAACGACAGCAATGAGGTATGTAGTGATAGAGTATTAACGGATATTGTGGTTATTGTTACTCGTTGTTCCAACACTGTTCTCTCCAAATTTGTGTGAAAAATACAAGAAACTTAAAACTGATAACATACGAATTCACTTGATACAAAAGGAAGAAATTCGAGATAGATTCAGCAATTTAATCTAAAAATCCATCAACTTTCCCTACCCTACTTTGTACTGAATGGTGTCTGCTGGAAGACACCATACAGGTGTCTGCTGGAAGACACCATACAGGTGTCTGCTGGAAGACACCATACAGGTGTCTGCTGGAAGACACCATACAGGTGTCTGCTGGAAGACACCATACAGGTGTCTGCTGGAAGACACCTGGATGGTGTCTGCTGGAAGACACCTGGATGGTGTCTGCTGGAAGACATCTGGATGGTGTCTGCTGGAAGACACCTGGATGGTGTCTGCTGGAAAACACAATACTGATGTCTATCTGAAAACACCTTTCGCGTGTCTGCTGGAAAATGAGAGTCGAACAGGCGCGGCAAACTGTCCCTTAGCTCCCAATGTACGTACATGTTTAAATGAACAAATCCACAAATGCCGTGATGAGGATTCCAACCTGCGTCCGAGAGCATCCCAGACGCTGCCTTAATCGACTGAGCTACGACTTGGAAACTGAGCTACGACAATCCCCTTGTGGATTTATTCATTTGATGCATCATGCAGTTGTGATTTCTGTGTATAGTGTTACGTACATATTTACTATTCCGTTCTTAAGCCTAAATAACGAGTACATATCCTACCAAATACACATCAGTTCGACTCCTCTCATCCCGTACCATTCAGAAACTACACTTAGCATCTTCGACAGGAAAATTGTCAGTTATTTCCGTTAGTTTGGCAATCGATAATTTGCGAAACTATGGAACTTGGAGGCCTCGTTACTGCCAAACGGTCAAAGGTCAACTGCCCAATTAATTCACAAAGCACGACCTCGAACCCCTTGAGGTACGAGGTACTGCGTCTTAATGCTCCAACGAGCCTAAAAAAATATATAGAAGGAGAAATCGCCCGACAGAGACAGAAAGTGAGGATTAACTTGGAGAATTGAGACCTGAGCGAGTTGAATGCCAGTCACGCCTTTCCTATCCCCCTCTTTCCCCCTTCCCCTCTTCCTTCCCCCTCTTCTTCCTCTTCCCTCCTCTTCCTACCCTCAAAAGCGATGGTATTAAACTCTGTGGAGTTCGAAGTGGAGCAACGGGAGGGGAGAGGGGTGGATAGGTGATGCCGTATTGGGGGATACACAGGCTTCTGAAGTGGGGCTTGGGTTGTAGTGTATGTGCATCTGTGTGCGTGTGTATGTATGTGTGTAGGTGCGAGTGTGCGTGCGTATATGTACTCACCTATTTGTACTTGCGGGGGTTGAGCTTTGGCTCTTTGGTCCCGCCTCTCAACTGTCAATCAACTGGTGTACAGATTCCTGAGCCTACTGGGCTCTATCATATCTACATTTAAAACTGTGTATGGAGTCAGCCTCCACCACATCACTGCCTAATGCATTCCATCCGTTAACTACTCTGACACTGAAAAAGTTCCTTCTTACGTCACTGTGGCTCATGTGGGTACTCAGTTTCCACCTGTGTCCCCTTGTCCTTGTGTGTGTGTATGTGTCTTGTATATGTGTGTGTGTGTGTGTGTGTGCATGAGGGTATAAATAGGCGTATTAATTAAGTAGTGTTGTCAAGTAATACCTACATACATTTTGCAATGAATCTCAAATGCACAACATGCAACCATTGTACACATCTTAGAATAATAATAATAATACTAATAACCACAATTAAAGATTATTATTTAACAATACCATAATGCTCAGGTAACCACCTCCATCTCTCCTCTCCCATGGCCAATAACCCCAGTAATTAGAGAACTAGGTATGGTCATTACTACAGTCTGCCTTTATCACACGCCTCGTCAACTGGGCCATTAAAAAAAAGGCTTTTATTCTGAAACTTTGAGCGAGTTACCCATCACATCCGTTTCCTCTCATAGCAGTTGGCACCAGGGCAGAGTAAGTGCTTGTTAGGTTATCGTCTTGGAATTGTCGCCTGAGAACCTCTATATCAATGTTACTTCTCTTCACCTAATTACGAAAAGGTGTGAGATTTCTTTTTTCCCCTCACATTGGAAGACATTTTACACGGCTGGTACGAGAGAAAATGGCACGTGTGTGTTTGTGTATGAGAGAGAGAGAGAGAGAGAGAGAGAGAGAGAGAGAGAGAGAGAGAGAGAGAGAGAGAGAGAGAGAGAGAGAGAGAGAGAGAGAGGAATATTGATAGGTGAAGTTTGTTGATCTTTGTGATGTAGTCGTTAGGTGAAAAAATAGATTAACTCTGAATTATTCATTAAGGTGAATCAGAGCCCAGATAACTGCTAATTGGTCTTAGTTGACAAAAAAATTGACTTTAATCCTTATAGAAGCGTTGTCTCTAGATCAGCTGTTGGTTCCCAAGGTGAGGGCCGTATTGCCTCACACCTGGCCACTTCCTCACACCTGGCCACTTCCTCACACCTGGCCACTTCCTCACACCTGGTCACAGGTGTGGAGTTGAGCTTCGTGCCATATACTCATCCCCTCCAATCTGCGGTTGACCTAACAGACGTATTCATCAATGTTTAAGGTACTGAGTACTCCAAAGCGATATTTTGTAAAATTTCAATATATATTGTTATTAGAATTGGATTTACAGTTAGATTTAGATTAGGTTAGGATGGGAGTTTAGTTATCGGAAGCAGTTATTACTAAATGTTGAACCATGGGGTGAAACGAATCCACTGATTCGTTCAATGGACGAATCAATTCTTAGTAGTAGTTCCTCGGACTGAAAACTATTCTTGGTAGCTGCTCCTCGACCTGAAGACTGTTCTTACTGCAAAAACTGACCTCGACCTGCAGACTGTATTTACTAACTGCTCCTCGACCTGCAGACTGTATTTACTAACTGCTCCTCGACCTGCAGACTGTATTTACTAACTGCTCCTCGACCTGCAGACTGTATTTACTAACTGCTCCTCGACCTGCAGACTGTATTTACTAACTGCTCCTCGACCTGCAGATTGTAATTACTAACTGCTCCTCGACCCGCAGATTGTATTTACTAACTGCTCCTCGACCTGCAGATTGTATTTACTAACTGCTCCTCGACCTGCAGATTGTATTTACTAACTGCTCCTCGACCTGCAGACTGTATTTACTAACTGCTCCTCGACCTGCAGACTGTATTTACTAACTGCTCCTCGACCTGCAGACTGTATTTACTAACTGCTCCTCGACCTGCAGACTGTATTTACTAACTGCTCCTCGACCTGCAGACTGTATTTACTATCTGCTCCTCGACCTGCAGACTGTATTTACTAACTGCTCCTCGACCTGCAGACTGTATTTACTTACAGCATCTCTACCTGCAGACTGATCTTACTAATGGAACACATTATATACGGACCTCACACGCCTTGCTCAATCCCGGCTTAACAAATGATGCAGATGTCAGCCACTTCGGTATTTAACGTATGGAAGGACCTCACCCGCTAAATTCTCATTCCTGCTGATACACACAATGGACATTAGGTATATTAAAATTTGCATGTTCTGTGTCTGTTGTTGATATTGCCTCATTTATCTGTGTGGGCAAGGGGAGCTTGCAATATGTGCCACATATGTGAAGGTTTATGTGGGTCTGAGGCTGAGTGAGAGAGAGAGAGAGAGAGGGAGAGAGAGAGAGAGTTGTTAACTGCTCTTGTAAACATTGTTCTTAAATTTATCTTCGACCTTACGACCGTCTTCTTTCCATCAGTATTTAATTCTCCTCCTCCTCAATTCTTTTTCTCATTCTCCTCCTCCTAAATCAACAGATATCCTCATTGTCCTCTATCATTATCCTTCGCCTTTAAGCACTATCTTCTCCAGCTTCCAGCCTCATCTGCATCCTCATTTTTGTCTCCTTGTTCTCTCCACTGCTACCTCCTAGTCCTATCACTCATAATAATCAGCCCTCATGACTTGGTCGCCGTCTCTGTCTGTTATCTAGGAGATAATGGATGCCTCCTGTCGCATTGTTCCATTCATCTGTCTCATTGTACCAGACGTCCCTCTCATTGTACCAGACGCCCCTCTCATTGTACCAGACGCCCCTCTAATTGTACCAGACGCCCCTTTCATTGTACCAGACGCCCCTCTCATTGTACCAGACGCCCCTCTCATTGTACTAGACGCCCCTCTAATTGTACCAGACGCCCCTCTCATTGTACCAGACGCCCCTCTCATTGTACCAGACGCCCCTCTCATTGTACCAGACGCCCCTCTCATTGTACCAGACGCCGCTCTCATTGTACCAGATACCTCTATAACTGTACCAGCTAACTCTCATACCGTACCAGTCACCTCATTGTACCAGCGATCATTATCACTGTATCATTACCATTACACAATACCATTAACGAGCCATTCGAGTTGGTTAATGACAGTAGTCCCTAATTAACTGTAAGAGGGAGCCTGAGATACCCAGTTCCTGAAACTTTGTAAGTAGACCTTAGTGTCATACGCAGTTAAGGTGCTTGCTTGAGGGAGCCGGTCGGCCGAGCGGACAGCACGCTGGACTTGTGATCCTGTGGTCCTGGGTTCGATCCCAAGCGCCGGCGAGAAACAATGGGCAGAGTTTCTTTCACCCTATGCCCCTGTTACCTAGCAGTAAAATCTGTAACCTGGGTGTTAGTCAGCTGTCACGGGCTGCTTCCTGGGGGTGGAGGCCTGGGAGAGGACCGGGCCGCGGGGACACTAAAGCCCCGAAATCATCTCAAGATAACCTCAAGATTGCAATGTCCATTCCATCTGTAAAGTTGATCATGGAGTCGTCCGGTGGATGTTGCAAGGTAGTTGAGTAGTTTACCCGAAGGTCAACAGCAAACCGACCTTTCCTGAAACCTTCACATTGTCAACCAAACAGTAACCAATGGTAAAAAAAAAATGTGCTCAGTCTCCTGAAATTATATAATTTATATGAACTATTTAGTCACAAGTTTTGTGACTAAATGTTTTTAGTCAATTTTTTTTGTCTATTTTTTTTAATTTTATTTTGGCCGGACTCTATAAATTAATAGTACAAAAAGTGGTTTATTAACAATCCATCACTACATATTGGTACTTTGGACCAAATAGTGACTATAAGTACTGTCATTTGTACACACTGTCTCTCTCTGTCTCTCTCTCTCTCTGTCTATCTCTCTCTCTCTCTGTCTCTCTGTCTCTCTCTCTCTCTCTCTCTCTGTCCACGTCTCACCTACTCCTCCTTCCTCTTATTACCCAAGAAACCATTACATATAATTGGACACAATCCTCGCTTCAAACGGGCCTGTTGCAACTCATTTCGGCTTCACTCACTACTTGGACTTGACAAATAAGCACTTTAATCCCTAGTCGTTAACTCGGATAATGGGAAAAGTTGCCAAATCGTGTTATTTCACAAACTTTATACATTGTCTCAAGGAAATGAACCTGCTTCATTATCTAAAAGTTCTGTACACATTTTGTTTGAGGTCAGTGTGCAGTGTGTACACTGTGTGTGTACTTACGTATTTGTGCTTGCGGGGGTTAAGCTCTGGCTCTTTGGACCCGCCTCAGTGTGTGTGTTTGTGTGTGTGTACTCTCCTAGTTGTGCTTGCGGGGTTGAGCTTCGGCTCTTTGTTCTTTATCATGTCTCCTCTCTCTTTTTCTCCTATTCTCTTGTATTGTCAGGTCTAGTTCTTTCAGTCTTTCTTCACACCCCTCATCCCTAACAACTCCGGGACGATCCTTGTTATATATCTCTTAACATTTTCAAGTTATCATAAGTTATTTTTAATGATGGTGTGCTATGATGGGGAGGCATACTCTAAGACAGGTCTCCCATAGACATACTCTAAGACAGGTCTCCCATAGGCATACTCTAAGACAGGTCTCCCATAGACATACTCTAAGACAGGTCTCCCATAGACATACTCTAAGACAGGTCTCCCATAGACATACTCTAAGACAGGTCTCCCATAGACATACTCTAAGACAGGTCTCCCATAGACGTACTCTAAGACAGGTCTCCCATAGACATACTCTAAGACAGGTCTCCCATAGACATACTCTAAGACAGGTCTCCCATAGACATACTCTAAGACAGGACTCCCATAGACATACTCTAAGACAGGTCTCCCATAGTCATACTCTAAGACAGGTCTCCCATAGACATACTCTAAGACAGGTCTCCCATAGGCATACTCTAAGACAGGTCTCCCATAGACATACTCTAAGATAGGACTCCCATAGACATACTCCAAGACAGGTCTCCCATAGACGTACTCTAAGACAGGTCTCCCATAGACATACTCTAAGACAGGTCTCCCATAGACATACTCTAAGACAGGTCTCCCATAGACATACTCTAAGACAGGACTCCCATAGACATACTCTAAGACAGGTCTCCCATAGACATACTCTAAGACAGGTCTCCCATAGACATACTCCAAGACAGGTCTCCCATAGACGTACTCTAAGACAGGTCTCCCATAGACATACTCTAAGACAGGTCTCCCATAGGCATACTCTAAGACAGGTCTCCCATAGACATACTCTAAGACAGGTCTCCCATAGACATACTCTAAGACAGGACTCCCATAGACATACTCTAAGACAGGACTCTTATAGGCAATGAAGATGCATCTAAGTGCCTCCTTATTTACGTTTCTGAATGATCTTCTGACGTTTTCTAATTTAGAAAATGTTGGTTTTATTGTCCTATTTATTTGTTTGTGCCTCTGGAGTTAGATTTGGTGTTTACTCCCAGGCATTTTTATCTTGTTAAGGGGAGGTAGTTTGCTTGTTTGTGTACGTTTGGTTCTTTCAAAACGTACACAAAACGTAGAGATCTTTCTCTGTTTGGTTTTTAGTCGCCTGCTTCTCCCTTTTTCATCACCTTGCACTGCTGGAGTTGAAATCTAGAAACCATTTTCGTACCCACTCTGCAGCTTGCTTAAATTTTCATGAATAGTTATATAATCCCACATCTGTCTCAATTTGGTCACGATCCAGGCGAGGATACACGGGGGGGGGGGGGAAGGAGCCAACATTGCAATGCAGGAAGTGGAACAGGAGGGGATAAATGCCGCACCATCAAACACTAGAGGGATATAATGTTTGATGTTTGATGACAACATTGCCGGGTTGCAGTGTGTGGGCGTAGTCGTGAGCTTTATACACTTATCTTGAGGTTATCTTGAGATGATTTCGGGGCTTTAGTGTCCCCGCGGCCCGGTCCTCGACCAGGCCTCCACCCCCAGGAAGCAGCCCGTGACAGCTGACTAACACCCAGGTACCTATTTTATTGCTAGGTAACAAGGACGAGGACGACGAACTAAAGGGTAGTTAAAGGCTGGCATCGTCATTAGAGATCCTCATTCCACACTGCCGCTCTCTAGGGGGATAACAGGTGTGATTAACGGTCACCTTGCAGCTGCTAGAGTACACCTGTACAGGTGGTTGACGCAGGTGTAACGTGTAACGATGTTCACATTAGAGTGAGGCTTACCAGTGAGGCTTACAATGTGTTACATAATTTACGAAGTAATCAGCTTAGCGAGATTAATGTATCCATCAAATTACGCAGCGAAACTATTAAAAAATACATTTTAGCGAAGGACTAAGCGATTAACGCACTTAGGAATTAAGCATTTGTATAGTGAGGTTCAACTAATCCTCTTAAAATATATATATATATATATATATATATATATATATATATATATATATATATATATATATATATATATATGTATATATATATATATATATATATATATATATATATATATATATATATGTATATATATATATATATATATATATATATATATGTATATATATATATATATATATATATATATATATATATATATATATATATATATATATATATATATATATATATATATATATATATATATATATATATATATATATATGTATATATATATATATATATGTATATATATATATATATATATTTTATATATATATATATATATATATATATATATTTTATATATATATATATATATATATATATATATATATATATATATATTAGTATATTTTGGTAGCAGTCTTTCCTGTAGACATATATTATTAAATATGACCGAAAAAGTAAGATTAATAATTCTAACACGAATTTTCTCGATCTTTCTTATGTTTCTTTTCACTGTTGATGGTAATTGAAAAATCAGTTCTCCAAAATTAATTTTTATTTCTAGTCTGACGCGACACTTGAGCGCGTTTCGTAAAACTTATTACATTTTCAAAGACTTTCGTTTACACTCACACAACTGAACTATAACTGAATAGAGCTTAAACATCTTCGATTTTTTATAACTGCATTTGGGTGAGGAGATATGTTACAACAGTTTTGGATGAGGTGAAAACAAACTTTCAACACAAGACAGAACACGAAACAATGGGTATTGAAGGTAAGAATGGAAGTAATTGCAGAGGGCCTATTGGCCCATATTTCTTGATGCTTCTATATTGGAGCGGAGTCTTGAAGTGGGTAGAATATAGTTGTGTATTAATTGGCTGTTGACTTCTTGATGTGTAGTGCCTCGCAGATGTCAAGCCGCCTGCTATCGCTGTGTCTATCGATGATTTCTGTGTTGTTTGCTAAGATTTCTCTGGTGATGGTTTGGTTGTGGGAAGAGATTATATGCTCCTTAATGGAGCCCTGTTGCTTATGCATCGTTAAACGTCTGGAAAGAGATGTTGTTGTCTTGCCTATGTACTGGTTTTTTGAGGCTTACAGTCCCCAAGAGGGCATTTGAAGGCATAGACAACGTTGGTCTCTTTTAAAGCGTTCTGCTTTGTGTCTGGAGAGAACTCAGTATACAGGCAAGACAACAACATCTCTTTCCAGGCGTTTAACGATGCATAAGCAACAGGGCTCCATTAAGGAGCATATAGCCTCTTCCCACAACCAAACCATCACCAGAGAAATCTTAGCAAACAACACAGAAATCATCGATAGACACAGCGATAGCAGGCGGCTTGACATCTGCGAGGCATTACACATCAAGAAGTCAACACCAGCAATCAACAGCCAATTAATGCACAACTATATTCTACCCACTTCAAGACTCCGCTCCAATATAGAAGCATCAAGAAATATGGGCCAATAGGCCCTCTGCAATTACTTCCATTCTTACCTTCAATACCCATTGTTTCGTGTTCTGTCTTGTGTTGAAAGTTTGTTTTCACCTCATCCAAAACTGTTGTAACATATCACCTCACCCAAATGCAGGTATAAAAAATCGAAGATGTTTAAGCTCTATTCCAGTTATAGTTCAGTTGTGTGTGTGTAAACTAAAGTCTTTAAAAATGTAATAAGTTTTATGAAACGCGCTCAAGTGTCGCGTCAGACTAGAAATAAAAATGAATTTTGGAGAATTGATTTTTGAATTACCACCAACA